GATTTTTTTTACCTATACAAAGTGTTTACAAGGAGTCCAGCCTGTTGCGAAGTCACACTTTTCGACAGCAAAACCTCTGGGCGCGTACATTTATAACGTCCGTTTTAACAGAGTCCTTTTTAACGAATCCGTTGCTACTGAAGGTAATATTCACACAGCATTTATAGGTCCGATTTTTAACGGATCCGACGCTACTGCACCGCACCCCTGTGGCAATCCTCGCGCGGTTTGATCCGATAAAATGTATCAGTGTTTCCGTTGTGTGTGGAATTTTTAATGGATCCGAAATACTGTCATATGTGTAGACTAGCTCATACAACTACATACACTAATAATGTATTTCTAATAGGCTAGTTGACCCTTTTTGGAAAAAGGTTTTAAATGGTTAATAAATGTTCTATTAGACCGAAAAAAAATGTATTGTATTTTTTTGAGACCTAGAAAACTACAAATCTTTAATTTTAAAATAGACTTTTCATGGACATACAAAAACGCTGTCGGCCATTTTAGTCTATAGATTATCTATGCTATGATATGACGTTGACGGTAGTAAACAAAAACTCGTAAGCACGTAGAAAATAACCTATCTGAGTTAATAATAAAAAACAACATGATTTCTAATAGATACCACGAAAAATATAGTAATTATCATTATTGTATTGTACGAGAATGTAAAAACACATCCTTGAAGACTCCAGGAAAGTTGTGGATTAAAGTGCCGAAAGAAATTAACCTACGCAATACCTGGGTGCCATTCCGTTAGGCGAATGGCCCTCTGGTTAGAACTTGCTAAAATTGATCCTGCAACTTTATCGACTCATCATCATCATCATCATCAGCCTATTAATGTCCCCACTGCTGGGGCACAGGCCTTCCCTATGGATGGAATAGGGAGATTGGGCCATGACCCGCCACGCGGGCCCAGTGCGGATTGGCGGGTGCTAACGACTGCAGATGCAGCCGGGACCAACGGCTTAACGTGCCTTCCGAAGCACGGAGGAGCTCGAGATAGTAATTTTTGGTCACCCATCCAATGACCGACCACTGCGAAAGTTGCTTAAGTTCAACGATCGCAGCCGAACGCGCTAACCACTTGCGCCATCGAGCTCCTCACTATCGACTCATAGTAAAATTTATTTTTGCGAAGATCACTTTGATGTAAGTACTCATTCAATAATATTTTAAGTTTCTTCATTTTTTTTATCAGTTTTAATAATACAAGTTTTAAAGTTATGTATGAATGACATTTAGTTGTTTACTAAAAGAGACGTCACAATCATGGCTGATGTGGCGTTTTTAGTGTTTAAAAAGTATAGACTAAAAATTATATTTTTAAATTAAATTTCTACAGCAATATTCTGCTTTTATGAAGTGAAATCGATATATTTAGGTTCCTTAGACCAAATACTTTAAGAAATAAACATTTATTTAATACAATTCGACAGGAGTCAACTAGCGTATTCCTACAATCTAATCTAATCTTCCTTTAAGAGAGGCGTGAAGAAGCATTTTTGCAGGCCGGCAAGGTGAGGATGGTTGGTGTGGCAGTTTATAACTGCTGTACCAGCTATCTTCGTGTTTGGACTTTATCACCACTTAACATCAGGTGGGGTACAGACATTTGCCTACCTGACTAAATAAAAATAAAAAATTGGATGGACCAGTAAAACGGACTGCTGTATATTTTGTCGGGTCGGTAATTTTCACTGGATCCGTTATATTGTATTGTATGTGAAGTCGCTCATACAACTACATACGCCATCAAATAACGGACCTGTGCAACGGATCGCTGCGTGTACGCGCCTTTACCATCCCGGCCCCTAACCCCACGTTTACACCAAGGTATAAATACACGTATTATAACAAATTTTATACAATGTATAATTTTTTTGTTGGTGTCCCAGCGAACTTCGTACTGCCATAAAAAATAGAGGTTGGTGGTGGAAAAGTGAAAATTTAGGGTTGTATGTATTTTTGTATGATGCATCGTAAAAAAAATTGTCCAAAAATTCAAATTTTAAGGGTGGACCATCCTTAATATTTATGGGGATGAAAAATAGATGTTGTCCGATTCTCAGACCTACTGAATATGCATATAAAAATTTCACGAAAATCAGTCGAGCCGTTTCAGAGTAGTTCAATTACGCACACCTTGACACGAGAATTTTATATATTAGACAGATAAAACATGTAGTATACAAAACTTGCATCAAACTTGTTGGATTCACAAAATATGTGAAGTGAATAATAATTTACCAAACACCAATGTATGTATATAATGATTGAAACTTAATTTATAAATTATATTGTGCAATTGTATAATAATGTATTTTAAATAGATAATAACCCTCTAAAGTTGCTGTGCCCTTGCAGGGCGTCACATAGTTACTGTATTTGTTATGTACCACCTTATTTTTGTAAATGTGATAGGCAATGAATAAATAAATAAACAAATAAATAGATTTATACTTGTAAAGATACTCGTTGTCTATGCTGTATAAACAAAAGAATGTCACAACAAGTATTCTACAAGGTTTGTATAAAACTAGTATATTATTTGTTTCTTGGTGTAAACGAGGGGTTACCCATACAACAGAAACGAACCACCAAGAGGTATCATCATCATCATCATTATCATCAGCCTATTAATGTCCCCACTGCTGGGCCACAGGCCTTGCCTATGGATGGAATAGGGAGATTAGGCCATGACCCATCACGCGGGCCCAGTGCGGATTGGCGGGTGCTAACGACTGCAGATGCCGCCGGGACCAACGGCTTAACGTTCCTTCCGTAAAACGGAGGAGCTTGAGATAGTAAATTTTTGGTCACCCATCCAATGACCGACCACTGTGAAAGTTGCTTAACTTCAATGATTGCAGCCGAATCCGCTAACCACTTGCGCTATCGAGCTCCTCAACCAAGAGGTATAGTATTATCTAACTATGATCTCCTTCAAAATTAAGGTTATAAATAGCATACTGAGTGCTTGTAGGTGGTTGGAATATGTCATGCTCTGTAAAAATCTCTGCGATTTGTGAAGCGAGACAGGTCGTTGCGTTCCCTAAACTTTGTTTATTGTTAAGAGCTAGGCGATAGCTGGGTCGTGCGTCATGCTCGTGAACGGGTGTTGCTAGGCAGCATGAGTGCTTTCAACCACTTTACTGATAGTCTTTTGTGAAGCTATAATTTTATCAATTATATTGGTCCGTACTGCAAGACAATGCATTCAGTTTTATGATCCTGCTAACATTATAACTTTTAAAGTTTGTGTGTTTGTATGTTTGTTAGTCGATCACGTAAAAACTGCTAAACGGATTCGGATGAAATTTGGTACGCATATAGTTTTTGTCCTGGTTTGAGAGGTAGGATACATTTTATCCCGGAAAATTTTGAGGTTCCCGTGGGATTAAAAAAGAAACTAAAGATAACGCGGACGAAGCGCGGGCATTAGTTAATAAAATTGTGGTAAATTTAAAATTGTAATGAGAAGTAACACTTAATATTTTCTGGTACAAAGACTGTCTATTACCATCCAGCGTGGCAATCATCATCATCATCAGCCTATAAATGTCCCCACTGCTGGGGCACAGGCCTTCCCTATGGATGGAATAGGGAGATTGGGCCATGACCCAACACGCGAGCCCAGAGCGGATTGGCGGGTGCTAACGACTGCAGATGGACCAACTACTTAACGTGCTTTCCGAAGCACGGAGAAACTAAATATAGAAGATTTTTGGTCACCCATCCAATGACCGACCATTGCGAAAGGCGTGGCAATGCTGCAAGCATAATGGGCACCTTTGGGCCAGGAACGACATTGGGTAGTGTTTGACGATATTTAAATTAATTGCATTGTATTTAGTTAAAATAAAGTGGAAATATCTCTTTTGGTTATAGTGAAATATACATTCAATATTAAAACAAAAATTCATATATCAATGTAACGACTCTGTATGGAATAAAACAGGAAAGAAGAGAGCCCTTGCTGATTTCTTTGCCGGTTCTTCTCAGTACAAGGTCTCCCTCCGTAGATTTGCGAATCGATGACGTAGCTTCATGTGTCCTTGTAACAACTTCAACCGAATAAACGATAATGAAGTTTTAAGTTTACTTCTACAGACAAGAGCTTTATCCAATTCGAGTACATTGACTATTATATTTTAATTGCACTTTAATATAAATAAGTTATAGTCTTGTATTGAGACTGTGAAAAGGAATAATTTCTAAGTATAAGTACCTAATGTTAGCTAAAATAAAATGTCGATAAATAGAATTATTAAGTTACAATATCCACAAATTATGTATATTGAGTGAGAGTTTAAAAAATGTGTTAAAAGTACCTTTCTATCATATTTTTTATTTATAATTTCCTAGTTTCAAGTTTTAATTCAGTTATCAATAAAAAAAAACATAACTACAAAAGCTAGACTTTTGATTGGATATTTTTATGCAGTATTTTTCCATGATTAACTTATCTAGAAGATAATATGTAGATATATTGTTGAAGTTTTTAGAATATGTTAGTATAACATAATTTGAAGTGTAATATAATCTATATTATATTATATCAACATTTTTTAATCTGTACATAGCAAAAGGACATAACTTATTATGTTTGTGTATTTGTTTTATCAATTATGTACCTTCTCATTTTTCAGTTCCAAATTAAGCAGAAAGGAATTCGCTACAATTAATAACGCTGCTTAAAATACGAAAAGTAAAAAGTCAACTTTAATAAGTGGGTTACTTAAAGATAATAATTAATAACGCTGTATTTATAAATTTTTATCTCGAACGTTTCTACTGCCTATATCTATTCCCTCTAAAAAGATTAATTTCTAAATGAAAAAAAATTCCTGACATATATTGTGCTATGGTATTTTGTTAAAAAAGAAAAATCAACATGTATGTCCATATGTTCTAAAGCGTTGTAAATCACGACATGTATGAGAATTTTGGTTACAAAATTTTGTTTATAAATAAATAAAATAAATACTCACCCCCGCAGCACAACCACCGAACGAAGAGAACAAACTTACACAATAACACCTAAAACGGAACGTATTTAAGTTTCCCGCTCCCCCGGGGCGGAAGAAAAAAAAAGTATAAAATTCGCATTTCAAATTCGCCCGGAATCGGCGAATTTCTTTTTCGAATTTCGTTACGCGCACGCCTCCGACCGGCCAGTAACACACTGATGTGATGTATCAGAGATAGTCTGTAGACTCAGTGGCGAAATAAAACGCGTGGGTTCACAAAGCAGATTGAATCATGTACTGGCATTTTGTAATTCGATGCAATTTAGACTTTACCGTTTCGACGTTAAAAACTTTTTTTGCGATTCGAGTCTGTTATCGGTGCGGTTACCTTTTTAATTTTACCAATTCATTTAATTATTCCACATATACGTGCATGTAGACGGTTTTTTATCCTCATTTTTAACTAAGTATCGAATTCATAGAAAAAATCAAATTATTCTCATGAATCACAGAAAATGTCAAGTGTCAAAGGTCGATAAGAGAAAAAGTTGCAACGTGATTTTGCATTCAGTAACTTTTTAAGTCGATAAAAGAAGAAGCTGCAATCTATTTCATAGCATTCAATTAACCAAGGAAAATATAAAGCAATGGACGCTCACCAATACCTTCATCATCAGCCTTTTTAATGTCTCCACGGCTGGGGCACAGGCCTTCCCAATGGATGACATAAGCAGACTGGGCCATAACCATGTACCACACGGGCCCAGTGCGGATTGGTGGATGCTAACGACTACAGATACAGCCTGGAGCAAAGGCCTTCCGAAGCACGGAGGAGCTCCAGAAATTAAGATTTTGATCACCCATCCAATGACCGACCATTGCGGAAGTTGCTTAACTTCCACGATCGCAGGCCGAACGCGCTAACCACCTGCGCCATAGAGCTATCCTACCAATAGTTAAATAAAATTTCAGTCAACCTCTCATCCAAACATTATAGCATGAACATGCTCGTAGTTTAATCTAAAAAAAGGTTCTTATTCATCCTCGTATTGTACAACTACAAAAAATATTAAAAACATCTCGAGGCCGTCAGAGTGATATATTCTAGAAGACCTCTATGTAGAGTGCAGTGACACCTAAAAAATCCTGTTGTGGCTCCATTACCTACCGATCTCGTCCAAATTATGTTTTGATTCGACCACACTTCCCTCTCAAGGTGGGGGAGATAAGACGTAGGTACCTACTTAGTTACTAAACAGTGACATACCCATTGAATATTACGTGTTTGGTGTCACATAATAGGTTATCTACTATATTATGAGATGATGAGCTACTCGAGAGCTTTCATCGTTCATTGAAAGTTCAAATAAGAACTAGAGATAATATATATGGAACTTTAAGGACATGTACCCGTTAGCTGGATTTCAAGGCACGTCTTTCTTCTATCTGCATGCATGCCTCCTAAAATACTTCGGCCACGTGGCGAGGAGAAACCCAGATACTTTTGAAAAGATTCTGCTCGTGGAAAATTTGGTAAAAGGAGAAGGAAGGGGCATGTCTCTATCCCGGTAGTTGGACATACTTGAGAAAAGCAAGAATGGCAACTTTCAGGCGTCCATCCGCCTTGCAGAACACAGAACAGCCTGGAGATCGCCGGTGAAATGTGCTGTCCTGAAAGGTCACTTATCACTTATACCCTCAGCCATGAGGAACCGACGATGAAGAAGATCCTATTAGCTGAGCCAGGCTTAACATTATTTTTTATGAACTTAGATATGCACTCACTTTTTAACTTAAGATCGCCTCGCTCGCGCCTTTCTGGTTTGTGAGTCCTGAAATGGATGCCAAAAGGCAAGGCAGTGAGTTTCAGTAACCCCCTAGGCCTAGTGACTGTAATTCACTAGGCTATACAAGCCTCCTGTTGGGTTATTAGTAGGTAAGCCTCTGGGGCCTCATCGAACGAAGTTCCATCTCGGAGGAGAGTCCTACATAGCCGGGTGGCGGAGTATACGTCACGTATTTTCCTTTCCCCTTTCCCCACGATATATAAAAAAAGCCACTTGAGCTTGTGAGAGGGGAGTCTTTGCAGAAATAGATCCTCCGTTTAAAAAACCGCTAGAGCCACTCGCTCTTTCCTGACTTGCGGCCCCCTAGACAAACAAACAATATACTTCAAAACGTTTCCCCTACACAATAAACGAGATATTACTAAATAGAAGTAGAAGTATCTCTGAAGTCATTTTTTCAACTTGACGAGTCTGTATATAACAATACAGAGAGAAAAAAACAGCCCTTGCTGGGTTTCTTGTCGGTTCTTTTCAGTACAAGGTCTCCCGCCGTAGTTTTCCAAACCGATGGCGTAGCTTCATGCTTCATGTTCATGTTTGGATCTGACTATAAATCTTAAAAATTACAAGTTCTTAAGATTTATAGTGAGATCCAAACATGAACCCTGTAAGGGCACTACAATATCAATATACATAAAATAAACAAAATACACATAATTATAATCAATCACATTAAAATTTTAGATTACAAGTACGCTACCTTTCAACAGAAAACTCTTGCATACTATAGAAGGTTTTATTCAATAAATATTTCAAAATTTGTGCAAACTTTTAACGTTTTCATCTACGGTTATATATTTAGGTAATTTGTTATAAATTTTAATTGCGTTCATTTGTGGACCTAAACTATGCATTTTAAGACTTGATGAGGGTAAGGCTAAATTATCTTTGTATCTCAAATAAATAAAACTAGTTTTTACGGGTTAATGCATGAAACTTTATTTATTTAAGGCTACGAAACGTCAATAAATATTGTATCTCAAATTACATCATCTATATGTACTAGAACAGTCCTGGTTTTGGGGAAATAATGGAGGATTTTGTTTTACGCTTCTTGACCTTGTAACAGTCTAGACTGAATAAATGATTTTTGATTTTGAATATCCTTTCTCTTAGTGACGGAGGAGGAGCTCGATGGGCCAGGTGGTTAGAGAATTTGGCCTCCGATCATGGAAGTTAGGCAACTTTCACAATATCATCTCGAGCTCAACTTATTAATTCGAGCTGCAGTCATCAGCACCCTCAAATCCCTGGGTCTCTGGGTCTCTGCCCAATCTCCCTATTCCATCCATAGGTAAGGCATATCCCCCGCAGTGGGGATAATAAAGGCAGATGTTAATGAAGAAACTACTTGATCTTAATGGAAACAAAACACCATTAAAAGTCAGTGTTTTCACTGTGGTTTTCTGTAAAATCGGCGCTTCAGTTTTAAAGAATGATATTACAAAATAAATCATTTGGTTATACATACCATACGCCGTACATTCATCGCAAGTATATTCGTATTTGGCAGAGTACATTGCCTTTGTTGAGTTATTTGGACGGGTTTGTGACCTTACGGTACGGTTGGTACAGTACAGTCCGTGGTTAATAAAAATCGTTATTGAATGAAATTGTATTTCGTTCACTGTATGACATTTCTAAGTTTATCAATGCAGCTGAGAACTTACTTAGAACTTCTTGTTTATTTAAGAACTAAAAACGTTTTTTTTATTCATTTAGGGTTTCGGGAGAAAATTAACCTCCTTCTCTAAAAAAAAAAATAACGTTACTGACGTTACGTTACGTTACTGACTTAACGTTTGACATATTTTTTTTAATTTTTTTTTATATAGCCAAATGACTCTACCCAATCTGATGTTAAGTTCTTCACGCCGCTTTTAAAGGACCCCAGATTGTAGGAATGAACACGTGCGCGGGCAAAGAATTCCACTTACGAATAGTACGACAAAGAAATAAGTCACCAAATTTCTCGTCGGATCCAAGCGGTCCCGTCACTAATATGGCTCATTTACACTTGGTCGTTATCCTGTTGAATGAATTTGAAATTGAATAAATGATTATTTGTATTTTTAGTGACATGTACCTATTTCTATAGTAATAATTATAGGTTATGTTGCTCGAAATAAATGTTTTCTTTTTACTTTATAGATATACATACATACATATTTTTTAAACATTCATTTGTAATTAATAAAAAATCACCTTAATTTTTTTTACTTCGTGCTATAACATTTTATTTATTTCAAAGCAGGAGAAGTAAGACGGTACGACATAGCGAATTTTCCGCTGGCATTAGAGCGTCGTCGTCTGCATCTGCAGTCGTTAGCACCCACCAATCCGCACTGGGCCCGCGTGGTGGGTCATGGCCCAATCTCCCTATTCCATCCATAGGGAAGACCTGTGCCCCAGAAGTGAGGACATTAATAGGCTGATGATGATGATGATGATTTGAGCGTCGGTCAAGGACTTGCAGTAACACTTTTGGTGGTTTGTTTGTTATGGGTATAATTTACTTAAATAAATAAGTATGAACTGTTTTTTACATAATATGATTAAAGTACCTATATTATTACAGTGTAAAATTTATTACGTATAAAAACGAAATACCTGACAATTAATGATATTATACAAATTTCTGAGAAAACAACCATCAGTAAGAGGCGCAAGTGTCCACCGAAACGCTTGCCATATTAAATAATTACAGTCAATATTCAGTTCTGTACGGCAAAAAACTCGCTTTGCCGCCGTCAAAACCACTGCACAAACGAATTCGAGCCTTATCGCGGTACACCATAAGAGCGTTTTTGACATTGATCAAGTTGAATCCAACGGTAATATTAAAGTTTGTAAATGTTACTTGTAAGTTGATGTACCTAAAGCTTCAAAGTGACCGCTAGTGTAGTGAGAATATCCACTGCGTCACAGAATACGGACCCCGGGTTCATTGCTATTTATAAACGGTGCTTCTTCTAAAGTAACTATGGTGTCAATTCAATTTTAATGGAGTTTAGCTAATTATCAAACCATAAGGTAACATTTTGGCAATGTTAAAGAGCGGCCAGTAAAATAAACACTCAAACTTCAAAAGAAACACTCAAACTTTGAAAGAAATAATCATTTTTATTATTTAATTAGTATGAAAACTCGTATGCACTAATGGACCTATAACAGTGTCATTAATAGGCTGTAATCTCTAAAAGTTTTTATTCATCATATAAGTTAAACCACGCCCACTCTGCTATCAATAATTTTAATAAGATGTTTCATAAAAAAATATTTGCTAACCTCTTCGCTTCAACGAGTAAGTATTGTTAGTA